ATCCGGTCCATCAATTTACCATTCTGAACAATTCTGCCTTCCACCTCACTCTCTCTGCTCTGAGCCAAATGTAACCAAACCGTGAGAACATTTGGTGTTTGCGGCAAACTTACAGTGGAAGGCAACCACGGCGGCACTGAGTCACTGACACAGCCTGGAACCATCCAATTGTGAACTATAATTGTAATTATGTACAGGCCCTTTGTCAATACATTTCAGTATGAAGGCCTTTTCCAAGATGTTAGCAATGGGGATTGCTTGACTATATTTCACCATGCTGGCTGGTAAGTGATGGGAAATATCAACTAAAAATTATTGAACACATGAAATTAACAGTTGTTTTTACATTTAAATGCAAGTACATTCATTGACTTGTTTTACATATCCGTTGGAAAGTTACACAATGCCAGAAATAGTATTTTAATTAACTTGCCAAACCGTCATTTAAAAATAACACGAGGAAATCGTTTTAATTTTTTTTAAAAATATGTCAGAACATATATTTTATGCTCAAACAATTAAAGGAAATGTTCATTAAATAAAAAAATCACAAAGATTAAAAAACTAAAGCTTCCTTTTTGAAACTGCGGCCAATTTCTTAAAAAAAAATTCATGCAAAATCTGAAGGCACTTGGCATCAAGTTTGGATCAATCTGTGCAATACTCTCCGCTGCTACCTGGTAATACCCAAGACCACACACTCAGAATTGTTACTGGGCAGGCCGATCTTAGAGTACGTTTATTAAAGCAGAAGCTTGCGAGTTCGAATTCTGGTCAGAAGTTCACTCGCCCCATCATCCCTCTGGCACTGATAACGGAGCACAACATTACGAAATGAAATCAATTGGTGGTTGTCCTACTGGCGTACTTGCTCCCTTCATACAAAATGTGGAATTGCCACTGCCGCTTGAGGGCTGTAAGGAGATGACTTTGACTTTTTTAATTAAAAAAACATGGTTCGAAAGATCATCTCCATGCTAAAAGGCACAGAGAGGAGATCATTAAATTCCTTTCAGATTTAACCTTCTGGTTTAAGACCTCATGTGCTTAGTATCAATCAACCAAATGTTGGAAAGGGTAACAAAAGCCTCCGCGGCAGATGCGTCCTTTCACCTATAGAATCTCTGAGATAAAGCACAGTGGCACATTGAATAAGCCTCACAATGCAGTAGGAAGCACCTGTGCTGTTTGCGTCAAACTCCCCTGGGATTGGCTGCACGTGTAGATAGGTAGCATTGTCACTGGCACAACCCACACGTGTGATTGACAGATAGTCTAAGATATTGGGCACAGTCACGTGTCTAAATGCTGTCAAAACGTTCGGTGTTATTAATGAGATAGACTGTTCACAGCGACTTATAAGTGCAGCATGAAAATATTACAACATAGAAACAAAAAGTGAATTTCCCTAAACAGGAAATTAACACAGCGTGCATTTCTCAGTCATAGCCAAAGTGTCTCCATGCTGATACAAACATATATTTGCAGTGCTGGGTTGGTGGTGCATATTACACATTCCCATGGTAAAGGCAAGTCTCTTCATAGATGAGTCACTGTTGGTTTGCTACAAAGTGGTATATCTGCTTATATACCCTGGGGGAATGATGGGCTTCGTAAACCTCTGACCAGATAAAGACTGGCAGCCTTTCTATAGCGAGCCACGTGCTTCCACCACAGAGCCACTGCGTGAGACCAACTTACCATAACTATACAGTAATGTATCTTCAGCCAAAAGTATAATTCATTTGTCTTGGCTAATGAAGTTACATGTACAAGGGGGCTTTACAAAAAAAAGAGGTCTTGCGCTTTCTCTATAATCCGTCTCCAATGTTGTCATGTTGATTGACATCCATGTGTCTTGTTTTATTCATGCAAGCGGTCAATGGCCGTCTTTTGCCAACAGATTAGTCAGTCTCTTCTGCATTGTGGAATGCTATGCTCAAAGATGCTCTGGGGTTTGCATGCAGGACAAATGGCAGTGCCATATGCACTGCTCGAATACAAACCCAGGGAGCAAAAACAGAGCCTCTCGCGAAACAATGCGAGCAGCGATGCTTGCCATGTGACATGTGACACTCAAGAATGTGAATGTAATCGGCGGAAACAAAAAAAACCAAGCGATCGCGATGGAAGACACAGCGATGGATTCGCCGTGCGATTGCGCTTATCGTCGCGATGTGGCGACACAAATCGGATGGGCGTACGACGCGTAATGATGCTCGTGTGCAGCAACAAATTGTGCTTGTGTGTAAACAGAAACAAGGTGGAACCCGCTTTGTCATATCACAACCCCCTGGGCACATCGTGGTAAGTTCCATTATTTCAATACGAATCAACCATGTACTGCTGTGGGTAGGTTCAATGTTACCGAGAATATAATGCGCTACATTTAGTATGCAATATTCAGCTTTCTAACCTAGTCCAAATGTGTAACTGTTACTTTTATGCACTCTTTCTTCAGACAGCATAGCTCAGTTAAGCTGTAAACAGCTGATTTGTTTAGACACAATGTGTCCGTGGATTTGTGCAAACAGTATATTTTTTTAAATTGGCCACTGAATGCGCACACAGCCAGCTGCTTGCAGTGACGAAAATTGGGTGCAGCTCTCCAATGTGTATCCGGGTTGAGTGAGCCGCGTGTTGTTTTGGACACGATGCTCGACCTTTCGCTCCGCGTGCTTCGTTGGAAACGTCGGACATCGTACCAAACAACGTTTGTACCAACACATTCGAGAGCTATATGCCACAACTGCAAAGATCTACACTGAAGATCGGTGTGCTTGTTTGATCCATTTACCTTCAATGAAAATTCGATTCTTGTTTCTCACGTGCCACTATTGTTTAGATTTCAAGGTTTACCAACCATTTCCAGAGGCCTGGAAATTGGCATTATGCTTTGAGTGCATCAGCTACTTGGTTGCCATGAAAATATGGACTTGGAAAATCTTTTGAAGACTGGTGTTGATGAATAACTGTGCTAGGTGTTAGGCTTTGGAGCGCACACACACTCACCCCACAACTGGCTACACGCCCAACCAAGTAGTACATGATTCAACCGTAACATAAATTATAACACAAGCATGCCCAGACCTGCAATGTCCATTACATTGGATGAGTTAAAAATTAAAGCTTAACATCTTCCCCGCTGATCCAAGCGGTAGTAATATGTTGTGGGCTGAACTGGGTCTACAGAGAACATTTACTGTTAAGAGCCTGTCTTACAAAGCAGCCAAAGTCCGTTGTAATTGCCCATGTATTTCAGGAAGGATGCAAGTGACCGTATACCACAGGAGAGCCGTTTTATGGGCTTCATATGAGGTGGCTGGTAAGCTTTTGAGGGGCGAATATCAGAGCACCGAGAAAGCACTGCTGACATCTCAGAGGGGCTTGGATTCCAACCAATCGTAAAGGTTGATGGTTCTTGGCATAGTCACTTAAGAATATATTAAAAAAAAAACTTGCACAATAATAGATATTTTTTAATTAATTCTGATTATTTACAGATCGAAGGGACTGTAATAGATTTGGTTTCATTGGCATGAATTAAACTCCTTCATTTGGTGGTGACACGGCCCAGCGGTAAAGTGTTCAGCGCTTGTTGCAGAGGTTCGTGGTTTGAATCCTGCGGACCACGCTGGTTATTACTGCGAGTGTGTTAATCATACAGTGGATGTTAAAGACCCCCGGACATGATTCGATATGAGTAGGCCATGATGTGCCAGCGTCATCGTCCAAATTTTCCAAATTTGAACCATTTCTGCCAAATTCCTCAATTGGGATTACCCGTGGCAACATCACTCCCTACTGCCCTCCTCTCGTCGTCTCTGCGACATTGTGCCGGAGCGATAGCCTTGCACTATAGGAACAGTGTGAATACCAAATATAATACATTCTTCATAATTTTAGCGAAGCAAGGGCGAATTTTCAGCACCCCTTGAGTTACTTTAAGTGATTTGTTTACCTTTCCTAGACTTTGCACTCCTATCGTGGTTTTGTATTATTTGTTGGTGTAGCGTTCTGACCCACCCCAACTGGACGCCTGTGAACAAGAGCTTTATAGCTATTCTGATTATGACTTAAGGAGGCCACTACAGTAGCTCTGTGATGTCACCTTCCGGAGGCTCTTCTCTAACATGGGGCGATCAACAGAGATCTCTTCATATCATGACAATTGATACAGTAAAACCTTGGATTGCAAGTAACTTGGTCTGCGAGTGTTTTGCAAGACGAGCAAATTTTTAAAATAAATATGAATTTGATAAACGAGCGAGATCTTGCAATACGAGTAGTACGTACTATACGCTTGCCGAGCGTCACATGATCACAACTGATATACTAGTGCTTTGGATTACAAACACGTTTCCGGAACGAATTATGCTCGCAATCCAAGGTTTTACTGTATATCGTTGCTTTCAAAAGACAGGATAGACATAATACCTACCATTTGTTGACATGATACAGGTATGAGCATCCTCATTCGTTAATAGAGTTCTCCACTGCATGATACAAAGCGAGTTTCACTTTGTAAAGCAAAGCATGGAAAGAGATGTTGCCATCAGGTATGCCGAGTGTTACATTAAGTGAAGCATATGTATTAATAAAAACCTACCCAAAGGGTATTTTTAGGTTAGGGTAATTGCAGCAGAACAGATTCATGACTTTGTCACGTAGCATTCTCAAACCTTCAAAACAGTGAAAGTATATCAATATTCAAACAAGCATTGGGATGGCGGCTCATTTCTTTTGGTTGCCCTGAGCGAGTGGTGGAAATTCCACAAGGTTATGGATTAAGGAAACAACGTAGGAATATATCGCTGGGGCATAACACTCCACAGTCATGGGTGTGTCTGCAGCAATTACCCGAATTCCAGAAAAGAAAGCTCAGCGGCACACCAATGCACAGTAGGAACCGCACAGGTAAAGCATTCAGCACAGAGAGGAGAAGAAGAGCAGGGAAGGGCGGCGGCCACACACAGGCGTGGGGAGGTGCGAATACATACGAGGAAGATCGGTGCCATTGGGGTAGGTGGGAATCCACGGCTTCCCACTGTCCCGAGGCCCCTCACCGGCACCAGCCCCTGGCGTGCCCCCTCTGTCGGCGGAGGAGCCGATCCTCCTGCCGGTGTTGTCGTAGTGATAGTGGTGGTGGTGCTGGTCCATTGAGCCGGTGAACCTCCCGAAGCGGTAGAGGCCGTAGCCGGCCACGGCGCCCATCGCCCAGTAGGGTAGGTTGCTGCGCGGCTTGTAGCCGCCGTAGCCCTGGCCGCCGAAACCCTGGCCGCCGAAACCCTGGCCGCCGAAACCCCCAAATCCAGAGCCACCCCTACCAAATCCCGGAGACTGACCAAAGCCTCCAAATCCCCCAGAGCCACCATAGCCTCCACCATAACCGCCACCATAGCCGCCACCATAGCCACCGTATCCTGGATTGTTCTGGCCATAATGGTAGCCTGGTTGACCTGCAGGCTGTACTGGGGCATTCCAACCATAACCTGGTCGGTTATAGCCAGTCTGACCATAGCCTGGCTGAGCATAGCCCGGCTGACCATAACCCGACTGACCATAGCCCGGCTGACCATAGCCTGGCTGAGCATAGCCCGGCTGACCATAGCCCGGCTGACCATAGCCAGGCTGACCATAGCCCGGTTGACCCGGTTGGGCATAGCCTGGCCTAGGCTGCCCATACCCACCTCCAGGCTGTCCATACCCACCTCCAGGCTGTCCATACCCCTGTCCTGGTTGTGCCTGGCCTGGGACATAGCCGGGACCTGACTGTCCATGCCTTAGGCCAGGCTGGGCAAAACCTGGACCAGATTGTCCATAGCCAGGCTGACCATAGCCCGGATTGGGTTGTCCAAATCCGGGTCCAGGTTGACCCTGGCCTGGGACGTACCCCGGGCCTGATTGGCCGGGCCTCAGACCTGGATGAGCATAACCTGGACCAGATTGCCCATATCCAGGAACACCACCTTGGCCATATCCTGGCTGTCCAGGTTGAATTTGACCTGGCTGACCATGTCCTGGCTGGCCAAACCCTTGACCCGGTTGACCTTGAGCAGGCTGACCATATCCTGGCTGCCCATGACCTGGCTGGCCAAACCCTTGACCTGGTTGACCTTGAGCAGGCTGACCATATCCTGGCTGCCCATGACCTGGTTGGCCAAACCCTTGACCTGGTTGACCTTGAGCAGGCTGGCCATAGCCTGGCTGCCCATGACCTGGTTGGCCAAACCCTTGACCTGGTTGACCTTGAGCAGGCTGACCATATCCTGGCTGCCCATGACCTGGCTGGCCAAACCCTTGACCCGGTTGACCTTGAGCAGGCTGACCATATCCTGGCTGCCCATGACCTGGCTGGCCAAACCCTTGACCTGGTTGACCTTGAGCAGGCTGACCATATCCTGGCTGCCCATGACCTGGTTGGCCAAACCCTTGACCCGGTTGACCTTGAGCAGGCTGACCATATCCTGGCTGCCCATGACCTGGTTGGCCAAACCCTTGACCTGGTTGACCTTGAGCAGGCTGGCCATGACCTGGCTGGCCAAACCCTTGACCTGGTTGACCTTGAGCAGGCTGGCCATAGCCTGGCTGACCATATCCTGGCTGACCATGACCTGGCTGGCCAAACCCTTGACCTGGTTGACCTTGAGCAGGCTGGCCATGACCTGGCTGGCCAAACCCTTGACCCGGTTGACCTTGAGCAGGCTGGCCATAGCCTGGCTGACCATATCCTGGCTGACCATGACCTGGCTGGCCAAACCCTTGACCTGGTTGACCTTGAGCAGGCTGGCCATAGCCTGGCTGACCATGACCTGGCTGGCCAAACCCTTGACCCGGTTGACCTTGAGCAGGCTGGCCATACCCTGGCGCAGCCTGGCCCACTCCAGGGGCCGGCTGCTCCGCTTTGACATTGGGACTCGCGACCCTGGGCACAGAGCCTGGGTGAACCGCACTGGAACCTCCCATCACAGCTCCGCCCGCCACGGCACCGCCCGCCACGGCACCGCCGGCCGCAGCGCCGCCGGCTGCCGGGTAGGGGAACCCGCCGGGCTTGTTGTCGAGAGGTTTGGAAGCTGCCCCGGGGTTTTTAGGGATAGGACGGAACACAGGGGGGGCCCACGCCGGGTTTGAAGGTGGGTTGGCCGCCCCTGGGTTGGAGGATCCAGATGTGCGGGACGTGTCGGGTTTCGGCTTGTAGTGCGAGTCCGTTTGGCTGCTGCCGCCGCCGCCCGTGCCTGTTCTGGAGCCGGAGCCAGAGCTGGAGCCAGGCTTGGTCTTCTGGGTGTTGCTCCCTGCGCTGTGGCTGGAGCCACCACGAGACCGGCTGCCACCGGTGCGGCTACCGCCGCTGCCCTTCCTGGCCCCTGCGAGAACATAGTCAACAATGCTGGTAAGTTAACATTACATTGGTATTATTTTTCAATTGCCATCTGGAGCAGTGGTATTTGGTCGCAATATGTTATGCATCTCATTGGCCAGTTCCAACCACTCCCATGCGTACCAACATTAAGCAAAAGGGGTAGACACAATGCCACCCCTGGCCAATAACAAGCCTCCTTTTACAGTTTAATTTGCATATCGAGAACCCTATGGCCATGCAAGGAGCAGTTTTTAAACATGAGACACAATGCTATTCCGAGTACAATTATCAATGTGCTAAAAATATTGATTTCTAAATGTAATATTTACAAATGCATTTTCTATCCTCACCTAAATATCCAAAGTCAACGTGGGTTTTACATTCTGCATACAAGCTGTATATATGTAGCGAAATAACACTGTCATGACATAATTCTCAAGAACGGTTTCATTCAAATGAACTCGTCATTCATTGTATAAGTTGAGTGAAGGCAGTTGACTTAATACATCACATTTTGCGTGACCACTAAGCTATTTATGCAAGCATAACATTTGCTTGGATCATAACGCGCATGGGAAATTGCTAAATAATAATTGCAGTGCTTTTCTTGCAAATTCCTTCTGAAAACAGTTAAAACTGTGGGAAACTTTCTTGAATAGTCAAAAGTTAAATATTCTCTGAGCAATGGGAGGGAGAACCCATCCTCGATGGCTCAGTGCCCCAAATAGAGGATGGAATTTACATATTCCCATGGTGGGAGCCAGTTTTTTCATAGGATAATCACCATTGACTTTCTATAAAGTGGCACATATGTTACCTAACCAGATGGATGTTTGAATAATTTTACCCCAATATATGTGATTGTCAATCGAGTGGTCTGCGAAGTGCGACCTGGCCGGATGACTCATCCAGGTAATACATAACTAAGTACATAAGATCAGCATGCCAGGAAATAAACTATATTACTGCATATTGGAGAGTGGGAGCTGTATACGTTCAAATATATATTTTTAATGAGCTGGAAAGTATAAAGGATTTTTTCCTCTTCGTTTCAACCAGTGAGGCCTTAGCAATGAACCACCACTGCTTAAGATGCACAACAAAAACGTGCTTTGTTTCTGCAAAGCAGAAAAAAGCGCACTGTAAAAGCGGTTAGATTATTTAAAAAATAACGCTTGAAATAAATAGACCTGACACAGTTCCATTATGGCTCCACAATGGCCTCGCAGAAGAAAAAGTGAAAAAAGCTTCAACTCCATTTAAGGCACTGGCCTTGAAATAACACAAAGCAAAATATATTCCTCGCTCTGTAAAATGGGACTGCAACGTCTGGCATCTCATCCTAGCCAAACAGCTCCTTCTCTTTTATAGCCCATCCTCGTTATTCCCGTTCGCCTTTGCGGTTTTAACTGGTCAGCTGACACTGCCGCTAGAACACATGACTCACAGTTGGAATTATGCAAGTTCAAATCCCGGCAAAGGGGTCAAACTCAGCCTATCATCTCCCTGGAGTCAATAATAAAATCACCACCACTTTGTGTGACGTCAAGTGAGGCTACACTTATGTTAGACTGGCCCCCGTTATAGGAATAGAGCACTTACACCAAAGGCGTGTGGCCGCAAACTGAGATTAGCATTGCCAGATATACAACGTGACGTATTGTTGCTTGCTACACCGCTTTTGCACTGCTTCAAAGTGGGCCATTCCAGGGACATTTTGAACCAGCCCGGAACGGCTCAAGTTGTTTTCCACTATAAAACCCGAGCAGTGCCGCTGACACCACACACAATGAATGCAAAATAAATATCAGTGTCATCCCACTGGCGTTGATCCCTCTGGCGTTGATCCCTCTGGCAATGATAAGATAAGAATTACTTCGTGGGTAGACAACAATCGGTGTCCTATGGATTGAGTCTCCACCACCATGGGATTGGTGAATTTCCACCATTGCATCAAGGCTTTAGAGTGCAGAAGAGCATCGCCCAAAGATCACGGGAGCATCGTGACAGTGATGTTTGTTATCATTCCATTATATTGCAGTGGATGGGTACACACCGCTTGCACACATGTATTAGGATTGCGTTCCCAAGTTTCATATTAATCTAAATATTCCAAACATTGGTAGTCCTAGACTACATTTCTAGAAACAAAATATGTTTCGGACTGATCTAAATATGACATCATAGGAAGGCACATCACTTTCATACTTTTCCTGCCCAGTGTCATTACGTGACATCATCTTGACAAGAAGTGATAGATGTTGCTTTTGTTTAATTTATCAAAATACAGAAATGTTTACATTGAGATTATTGTTTGACTAATGAAACTTGGTAAGTAAAAATTTGCAATTATTATTATTTACAATTATTTAAAATTAATTAAAGGGAATGCATCAAAAAATGTAAGTTTTTTTTTATTATACCAACTAAAATCAGAAAACATGAAACAAAACCCATCATAAAGGCCGCTGGTCAATCAGTAAATTATTTCATTCCAATTGTCACTACTCATGATGAGCAACTCTACAAGGTCGCACCGAATGACAGGCATCGCGATGAGAAACATGAAATACCATTTGAATAACAAATAGAAACCCAGTTTCCTGCATCGTTGTGTCATTTTATTTCCTCAATGCTCTGAAGAGATGGAGACCAAAGTTCAATGCGAAAAAAATAATCCAATGTTGTTCTTTTCCCCATTACACCACGATACAATTCTATTCTCGGAATGTTTCAATTGCTGATCTGTGGTTAAATAGATGTCACACGCATCTGTGTATACACACTCCTATATTGTCCCCCATGTGGTTTCTTATTGTTGTGAAATTCTATTGAAATATATAAAAAAATATAACAACAGACAATGGCCCAGCAAAAACACAGAGGACTACACAGCACATCATGTGATATTTTAACGTCACTGCATCTTATTTGTTAGCCGATGTAACGTGTAATTACAGAACGATAACATTACTTGACCCTGTGATAGTGTTACCACATAAAAGGAAAGATAGCAGTTGGAAATTATGACTGGTTTAGTTGTATTATTGGTTCTTTCGGTAAAGTCACGTAGAAGGGAAGTAATAAAATAATAAAAATAAAACATAATAAAACAATTCTCACGACGTTTCGGCCACAACGCAAGCAGCCGTCCTCAGGTGAAAACCAGGTCCGTCGAGGCGACAGAGTCTGAATGAAACAGCACACGGGCTTGGAGCATATATATAAGCTGGGCGCATTGACAAAGGAATTTGCATATCAATATATGCTCCAAGCCCGTGTGCTGTTTCATTCAGACTCTGTCGCCTCGACGGACCTGGTTTTCACCTGAGGACGGCTGCTTGCGTTGTGGCCGAAACGTCGTGAGAATTGTTTTATTATGTTTTATTTTTATTATTTTATTACTTCCCTTCTACGTGACTTTACCGAAAGAACCAAGAAGATGAATCCCTGCAGTCACGAAAGCTTTAAATCGAAATTTGGTTTAGTTGTATTATTTAAATATGTATTCGAGTTAACATAACATGCAAGGTGAATAGGACTGTGATTAAAATGATTAAACAATAGGGTCAGAGTTTATATTTTAGGAGGCAATGGAATGGCTCATGAACAGACTCATGTTAAACTGCTGCCTATGCAGTTAATAAAAGCACAGATTAACAATACAATGAATATTGGGTCATCAGTTTCAAAAGTGGCTACTTTATGGCGAAGATTCCCTCCACCATAAGAATGTGGAATTTACACCACTGCCTTAGAGCCTCCAATATATACGAACATCAGGCAAGGTGGTTATATGATAGAAAAAATTATGATATGAAGTTTATAGTACTGGTTCTGGACTCTCACTGAAGATAAGCCCTGTCCAATGCTCATTTGAGTGAAGGGCAGGATTGGGTTTTAATAATGAAAAGCAAGTACTAAACTAGTGACCTAATACAATTATTTTAATGAAATACATGTTGGGAGGGGGCAGGCAGAGGGGGACCCCTACAGAGCAAGAATTTCATAAATGTGATTAAAAATTGTAGTGGTCATAGATAGACTGGCTCCTACCACTGGAACGTGGACTTTCCACCAATTAATTAGGGCTGCCTATACAAATATTTGTCCTGCATTGGTCTTTAGAGCAGGAACACCGTTTTACTTGTTGGCATGCGCCATACATCAAAGTCACAAATCACCTCCATTTGCCATTTTAGTCCAACTTGATTTGAAATAATTTTAACATTTACTTATTTCAAATTAATCACGCAGTGAGTGAGTTTACGAACCCGCGGCTCGCTCACTTGGGCAGAGGCTGTTCCTCCTATTAAGTGGAAAATTACAGCACTGGCACTGCATCTGGTCAGCATCGCCCCACTTACAGCAAAAATCCGCTAAGACGCGCCAGACTGCTTACCCCAAATCCAGGAAATTATAAGCTGCCTATTTCTCCAGATTCAAACAAATCACAGAGATGAGACTTGACCTGACAGCCTGCTGTGAAAATGCCCTGGCTTGGTTGGAAAGTTGGCATTGTGGTCTAGGATGTGATCAAATGGACTAATTTCTTTGCTGTGCTCACTTTTTAAGTTGTTTTGTGCTTTGTGTTTTGGTGCCATTCGTTTATTTATTTATTAGTTTTTTTTATTTTGCTTGGTAGTAGGGTTTTCATTCGCTTGGTAGTGGTTGTATAATTGGATGTGGTTCTTATATATAATTCACGTACAGCGTTATGGGATGGGTATTAGCATGAATGATATGCACCTCCAATTAGTAAGAATGGCTATGTACGGTGTGAAAGAAATACAACATTGTACATATACAATGAAAGTTATTATGAATGGAGTCAGGGGTGAAAACTGGGACTGGGTAGGCAGCAGTAGAAGGAGGGAGGCGGGGAGGGGGGTCAATGGCTGCGCTATCGCCCTGTCGAGGCGGGACAGAGGAAGGATTGTACCTGCGAGGCAGACGACTGCGAGTAGCGCCAACAGAAGCACGAGGCCCCGGGCTGCCCTCATCCCTCCTGACCTTCACAAGCCAACACCACTCGCTCTGCCAGTCCCAGTCGACAACAAAAGGACACTGCAGAAAAGAAAACACATCATCGCCGTCAACATCACAATCATCGTCATCACAATTTAATAGCTATTTATTATGTGCCGGGTAAAGAAAGTAGCAGCAGACAAAATAATTACATGTACAAAAACGCGAACTATACTTATAAAACTAGGCGAGAGCCCATTGATTTAAAAGGTCCCTTTTTCCAAGATAACCCTAGGCAAGGTTACAACAGGAAGACTGTGATTTTATATTCAATTCCTCTGGCATCAATTAAATGAGTACCACTTAGTCACGTGTTAGCCGTCGTTGCCACCGATGGCTCAGGTTAGCCAATGGAGACAAGCGCCGCCCCACACGTTCTTTTGAGCAGGATGACCCTTGAACTTTAAGGCTTTTCAAATATGACATCGCATTGAAATACGGACAGATTTTTTTTGCCTTGAATGCAACGGAAACAGTCCCATCATTACACTTTCTGAACAAAGAAATTACCCTGCACGGCGGTTCGCTCGTGTCTGGATGGAGAAGTTATTTTCCTCTAATGAGTCGCTGGGTAAAGCGACCCAGCTTTCCCCGCAGGGAAAGGCAGGCAGACAGACAGACGCGTTTGTGCCTAGAGCCACCATGGCAACAATAACAACCGCACGCTTTGCAGAGGGAGATAAAAGGGGGTTTCATGAATTTAAAAGAAGCATTTGTCTTTGCCATGAGACCAATATCTTCAATCACTCAAACAAGATCTGACCAAGTGGTGCCGAGGGCAGAATTCTGCTCGTAAATGGGGAGAACGTGAGAGTAAACAGCAGCGTCGTTACCCAGGGGTCGATGGGTTTCAATGTGCGGGAAGCCAACAGAGGCTGTTCTTTAAACATTGGCCCTCGTTTTGGGAATGTCGAATTTTCACGACTGTATCAGGGTGACTTTTGGAGATCAGTGGTACACTATGACCTATTTACGACGGAGGCGATCGGAATTCAATTTGTGATAGACCTGTGAGTACATGTCAGAATCTGAATATTTATTTATACTGGAGGAATCCGATGAGCTGTAAAGCTCTTCATCACAGCTGTAACAGTGGAGAGAGGTGACACAGTGGCCAGCGCACTGCGTTACAAAACCCGGCGACTCGAGTTCAATTCCCACTCACAGCCAACATCAGTCACAAACACCGGTACTGGTCCTGGGCATCCCCTCGATCGGCTCAGCCTTAAATGAGTACCCAGTGACAAAGGTGGCCAGGTGTGGTGTAGACACCCACCACCTCCGTTGTGTGTCATACAGGCCTTCAAATAGATGCTCGCTAATAATACTTGCACCATGATGTACGGTAGATGTGTTTTGGTGAGCAGTTGCGGAGTGGTTAGCATGCAGCACAACAAAACAGCTTTGGCAACGGGGATTCAATTTGCAGTCAGAGCCAGACACATCCATTCCACGCAGTATCATAACCTATACCGAGCCTCCCCAAGGTTGGCTCAGCCTTAAATGTGTTGGGTGTGCAAAGATCAGCACTGGTTAGACACAGGGGGGCAGCTATGGTGCTGCTCACGCACCATGCAGGCCTTAATTGGTGGCGATCACTAACAGCACTTGCCTCGTGAATATAAACGGATACACAGACAGGCAAAGTGTTGTTCGTCAGCAACAACCGATGACAGAATGGATCACAGCGGCATGGTGTGGTCAGTGTTTTTCAGCTTCATTTTCATTTATTTGGTATAGCCCTGTGAGCCATTCGGCTCTTGAAATCGGGTGCAACCGCAACAAACAAAAAACCTAAACAAGAAAACATCTTAAAGTGACTATGTGACTATGTGCAAACAAAAAATCCAAGAAAATTACAGCAAAATATTGCAGAAAAAGCACCGTACACCAACGCTGTGTGCAAAAATCCCAGTGGGACGCAAGTCAAACAACAACAACAACAACCACAAGACAACTTAGATTAAGGCCATCAGTCTAACTCCGTACTACAACAAACAAACATGGCCAAACCAAAAAACTTTTCGAAATCACCAAAATAAAGCCATAAAAGCAATGTCACAGTGATCATATGAACTGTGACCGAATTTTCACAATAAACGACACAAACAACATGTACCACCAAACCCTGCAGACTTAACTAGCTGCATAAGTCACTCCACAACAGCACGAGCATCAGTCGGAGTATCAACATTTTTCCATGCACCTTTAAGATCAGCACACTAAATCAAAACACAGATCACCACGGCTGGCCTCCATTGCCTTCCAGTGCTGTTATTTGCTCACCACGCCCAACACTCGTTTAAGGCCGAGTCGACCGAGCGGAGATACTGGACCGGATCAGATATCACTCGTCAACTGACGTCAGCCACGGTTGGGAGTCAAACAGTGCTCGCCAACTGCTGCGCCACCACTCCTCCATATGCACAAACGCAGCATGCACGCATCGATTGGCAGTTGCAGTTAATTTGAGTACATGTTTCTGAAGGTTGCATACCAAAGCAATTATGCTATTTCAACCCCTTCCTATAAAGGAGTGGTGTTGTTGCTATGGGAGGACATCCAAACAGTTTGAACTGAAAGATGTCAAAGGGCGAGGGAAAGTTAGCAAAAGTATTTATTTTCCTGGATCATATAAAACACATCTTACCAGATGCTTGCCTCACCATAAAAATAAACACCAAGTCTGGCCCTTTTTTGTTTAATTATTTTACCAAAACACAAATGTCACTCCACAGAATCAATAACAAAGATCAAAGGCAAAACTGTCTCCTTGTTGAAATTAAAATGGTGTGGCACAGTGGTGAGCATTCCTTATTGCTATCGCAGGGTCAATAAAATAGTATCTAAGAGTATTTATTGTATAAATTCTATGGGGATGAATAGGCGAGATGGTTGCCAAACTGGAGTTTAACTTAAAACCTTTCAACGATGCCACCTGGCTTGATAATTAGGAGTATTATATACTGTATGAATAATTTATACATACAGTAGACATTACTTGTCTGAATCGAATGCCAAAGTAATTTACTGCATAATTCTTTTTACCAGCAAGATGCAATTTAAAAAGACTTTGTTGAATTAAAATAATAATAATGTTAAGCTCTTGGTCAATCCACCGTTGGATGAAGGCCACCCATTTGGGGTTTGTTTGCCCGTAGCTTCACCACGCAGGTCACTGTAAATTGGTGAAATGTGTGGCGGCTAATTGTCAACCCGCCGCTAATTCTGTCTGTGGTTGGAAGTTGAACGCGGGTTTAGCAGGTTCACAACGCGCGGGCAAAGCCGCTGACCCTTAGCTTCATCCAAAATGGGCTGAGCAAATCTAAAAGAGGCCCATGTCAGGTACAAGTAAATGTACATAGATTTCTCGACACAATATTGAAAAGAATTGAGACCGGAAACGGTCATACAATGGTTTTCCGATAAGATGAATAATACATAATCATAACTTATGTACAAAGGATTTTCCAAACACCAGTCAACATAAATAATGTAAGCTTATGTAACGTACATAATTACTTATTCATCATCATCTTCTTGTACTGTAAACACTTTCTGTCACTATCAAAGTCTAATGAAGCAGAAAAGCGTATCACTCCAAAATACATTTAACAAAAACAATTAAGAATTATGTAGGACATTAAAGCAACATAAACACTATGGTTATAGAAAAAGATAACTATTCTAAAACAAGTTTCACTGTTGTTGTAGCTTATCTCAAAGGACCATACCAACTTTATAGTGGTATGTCATATACAATTATCTTTATAGCATGTACGAGGTCATAAAGTCAGTCATCGTGTGCTAAAAGGAGCATTGAGGTGGTCCTCATCTGTTTCCATCTCAGAGCTTACGGTGGAAATTCCACATTCCTTCAGCAGTCTAGTTTATCCAAAGCACAACCACTTTTTACTTCCCTACAAAGTGGCAACCTTATGATTGCGAGCCCCTCCCTCTACCGCGGAGTCACCTGACCTGTAGTTAAACTTAAAAAAATATGTACGCTACTTACTTTAGTTTTGACATTTCCACCAATTATATCTCAATCATGTTTTCAACATGCTGGCAGTGTTTTGAGTAATCGTTCAAATGGTCTAAATATGCCTCCTCTCGATATCTTTCAAGACCCATCTTATTACAGCCAATAGATAATGCTCTTCAGCTCTGAAGTTGGCCTCTCCTCGGTTTTGTCGTACATTATATCACCAATTACGTCTCAATTGAGCCATCAGTCATGCCATGAAAGTCAGAAGCGTGTCATGTCATATCGTATCAGGGATAGGCTTTGGACTATGACAACCAAGAACTTCTAAATTCACTTTAATGGATTTCCATCAAACACTATATGGTGTTCTTGTGTGCCATGTAAACTTCGTTCGTTCATTTCTCAATCCACTCTGCCTTGTGAACGCATCCAGGTGTACAGTACGATGTGTCGTCAACATTTGTCATTTCTCTTTGCTGAATAGTGCCTAATTTTGTGAAAATCCTATTTACTGTCATTGTTACAGGAAGTTGGCAATGAGCGGGCTGATACCATTGAATAATTGCAATAAATAATCAATAATGAGGACTGGAGTCTACCGAGATCCAAAACCAGTGGTTTTCGATTTGTGCTACAACATGGCAAATGTTGAATGTGTTGCTGTGTCCAACACACACACTTAGCTCTCTACAAGGTGCGTCATAAGTTACTACCCGATTCGAAAGTGGGATTTTGCGTTAAATGATTTTGCTTACATTTGTGCAAGAAATAAAGTAGAAGCATGTCAATTGGTGCAAGAATTTCAGCCCAGAGACCATCAAAGCCGCCGAGAGTGATGGAAAATGCCGTTGAAAGAGCACGGATTTGCCAACGCATTTACAAGATATTATTTTTCATGCGTAATTATATCGAATCGCCATGAATTCAATCATTTTCTATCATTTAGAGTTCGTGCTTTTATGTAATTCTTCAAAAGTTATAGGCAAAAGAAATCCGGTCGTTACTTACGGCCTACCCTCTACAACCTCGATGTCAAGACTGGATCACTCACAACAATAAAAAAATGCTCACCCCACTTTATTTAACAAGTTCCAACAAAGCGGCAACGAAGAACGTTGCAACGTGACGCTGCGTTGCAATTGAAATTCACCACAAGCGCTTGTGGCAAGAAAGACTTTGGAAAACTCGCCACACAGCAAATAGCCGATGCAAACGTACACCGTGTTGATGAATTATTTACAACTTCTGTGGCAGTCAGCATTTCAAGCTCGTAACATTTTTTTTTCAAACTCACTCGGCTGCCACACGCATACGAATTCATTCTTTTTTACAAAAGTGTATACTTTTGTACGTAACATATACAGTATATCCCTATTTAATTTATTAACATATCATAACCACAACCCCCAGAACATAGTCAATGCTCTTTGTGTAGTTGCAATTAAAGCTGGGCTTAGCCAAACTAATGTTAGCCACAGCAATGTAGAATTTACACACTCTGACAAAGGGCCAGTTTAAATTAACCCAAAAACCTCTTATGGATAATATTGATGGCGAAAGCCTTCGTGTTAAACTGGCCGGTTTGAAGTGTCATGCAGTGCTGTATTTATTCATTTTAATGTATTGTATGCTGCGTACTTGTGGTAAGTGTATTTGAAATAGGAGTTAAGTCAGTCCATTTGTCAATCACTGGAAACGTTATGACAAGCCAGGTACCTGACCTGGCTGCATGAATGTTTGAGTTATCTCCTCATACGAGTGGCCTGACAAAATGTAAACTTCCTCGCCTGGTATACAGGAGGTCGTGGGTTCAATCCCGACCCTGACACCTGTACATTTGCATGTTCTCCACGTGGTCGCGTGGATATTTCTCCGGATCCTTCGTTTTTTTCCCTGCCACATTTAGAAACAACATGTGTTTCGAGTATTTGACTGCTATACATTTCCACATGATAAGCCGCTTCATTAGGCTATCATTTATGGCCAGGTTGCTTCTGAAAAAGAGCTATGTAGCTCGGTGGGCCTTACCTGATGAAATCAAAATAGTTTATAGTTTAGTTTCGTTTTCCAGGTACCCCAGCTACCTCACACAGGTAAAATTCTCATTCAGGAAGCGACCCAACATTCCAATGCAACTTACCTGAAAAAGTGTCTTGAGACTCAGTGAGGCTTTCCTTAAAAAAACGAGGCTACTATTACAGCCACTTGGGAATGTGCTTTCAGAGTCAGTGTCACCATGTACTCCCATGCTCAAATTATTATTTAAGGCCTTTCCTGTGCTTGTGGTGCTAAACCACATTCCTATGTGTAATGAGTAGCAAAACCGCAAATGAATAGCCACAAAGTAAATTACATAAGAGACTAAGTTAACATCCGACCAACTTTCTAAATGAAAGTTGTGACCTTTGACCACAGCACTGCCAAATTAATCATTACACCTGCATTTTTTAAAATGAAAATGGTAATTACAAATGGCGTTCATTAGGCGAGTAAAAATCACTCGAGTTACTCTTTGGTTCTTTCGGTAAAGTCACGCAGAAAGAAATTAAATTAAATAATATAATCTAGTTTGAACCACCTCTAATGGGGAGAATTTGCCGTGCTTGTCTGTTTCACACTTAACTTCTAATTTAGCAATCTTCAGAAGAACGTAATCAATCAGGCTATGCGTTAACTGCGTGCAATTCTCTCCTCCGGCTGCTATGGGCAGGAATTCCACACAACTCCCCCTCTGCCCCACCCCCTCTCTCTCTATGTAAGGCCTCGACACAGAGGCGTTGTCTTTCTGTGTGCCTATGTTGTGAGTCTCTCTCTGCTTGTGTGTCTGTCTGTGTGTCTCCGTGTCTATGTTTTGTCTCTCTCTCAAATTTTACAATCTTTCGAAGAACGTAATCAACCAAGTGGGGTGTTGAATGTTTTGTTGGCCGATTCTCTGTGTTGTATTGCATTATATTTCCAAGTTTACTATTTTTTTTCTCATTCATTTGTACCTGATAATGGTTGCTTGTGTTGCAATCGAAACGTCGTATTCTATTCTTATTTAATTTATTTCTACGTGACTTTACCGAAAGAACCAAAGAGCAATTCCTGCAGTCACGAAAGCTTCGAATCTAGTACCACTCAAGTTGATAACATCATTAGTGTACAGTGTTACCACGCGTACGACCGTAGAGGTTGCATTGGATATATTAGAAATGCACAACTTTAAGGCACTCTATATTATAAGGATTTTATTACGTTAGATGATCCACCTACCATAATAAATAAATAAATAAATATTTATTCCTTCGCAAACCAACCGCGGTACTTTAATAGACGTAGTTACAATCGATAATAATTTAGCAATTGTGTCCTTTCA